ATATCTAAAATGTGATGTTTATCCTGTATTTGATTGTGTTTATCTGCAGTTAGTTACACGAATTCAGATATGGGATGAAATCGGATAGGGATGAACGGGTTTAAGAGTTTTTAAGAGTTTAAGAGTTTTAAGAGTTTTAAGAGTTTTAGCCAAATGCTTTATAATATAGTATAGATATATATATATATATATATATATATATATATATATTTATTTATTTATTTTACTTTTTTTCATCCCACCAATATGGGATAAACAAATTTTAACCACATTTTAAGATTAAGGATTTGAGGATTCCTTAAATCTCATAATGTCATGTCATTCTAGTTGGTTTCTCCTTTAATATATATATATATATATATATATATATATATATATATAGGGTATATTTCTTTTACAACCTTGTGCATTTGTACAACCTTTGCAACCCAATTAATTGAGATATTTATAGAAATTATTGGAGTTCATTTATTATGATTTGAATATTTATGGAATATGAATAGAGTTTATTAATTATGATTAATATATATTCATTTATGAATTTCATTCTAATTAGAAGGGTACTCGGACAATACAATGATATATATATATATATATATATATATATCTCGATCTTAATGTTCCGTTTTATTCTGTCTATGTAGATGTTTTAATATGGTTTTTATATGGTTTTGACTTTTGAGAAATGGATGATGATTTTATTTTTGAATAAAATATAAACTTGAAGATTTCATAAAATTTTGAAAATAAATATATCAATATTAGTATCATATTAATTATTTAAATGTTTTTGTTTTTGTGTAATTTCTTTAATTCAATTTTTTATTATAATTTAATTTATATTTAATAACGAAAGTAATTTATTTTTGATTTAATAATTTTAAGGATAATAATTAATTAATATGTTAGGACTCAATGATTATCTTAATTATATTTTAGATTTTTTATATTTAAAATAAAATGTTTATTTTGTATTTGACTATGTTTATCTACAGTTAGTTACACGAATTCAAACATGAAGTTTTAATAAGTTGTCCTTATGCACAATTTATTTGTAATCTAGAATTTTAAGTAATATGCATTAATAAACAGTATTTCTTATATAAAAAATAGTTTTTAAGAATTTTGGTAAAATATTTTATAATATTGTATAGATGGTAGTAAACCACAACATGATCTATCTTATGGTGCCTTCTTGAGAAGAAAGGCTAACCTATCTCAACTTTTAAATCCTTCTCTTACTTTTTGAAATTTATGGTATACCAAGTCCTAAATAATAGTGGATTTCTGCCTATAATGGATCTGTGTCCTGAGTGACGATTGCTAGGCACATAACATAACTCGGTGTCCCAAGAATTCCATAGGCTCCAACAAAATGTTTCATGCATATCATGGAAGACTGTTAATGCATGAACATATAGCACATGAATTGTCACTTAAAAGTTTTGTCAATAGCCGGGATTATCCTACAATTGTCAATAATCCTACTAAATCATTGGACCTCTAGGTATTCAAGTCTAAAACCATCTCCATCAAATCCCTGGGCATCAAAACAGAAAACCCACAAATAAAGTTACCGAAAAGTTGATAGAAGCTCCAAATTCTAAAGACATTAAATTCCCACGTCATCACGAAGGAGTGCATAGAAAATAAAACCTTTTGTTACTTATATAGTAATCCCATATAATAACTACCAGATTAGAGGGCAATCCGCCTTTCATAGAAAAGGCAATAAGAAGGAAAAATAACACAAGTCGGTTTGAAACATAAACTCTTGTCCTGAGGTATCTTCTTGAAAATTCATCCATACATGGATTCATCTTTAACAGGTATTTCGTTCATCTTCCATTGTCAACTTCAGAGCCGCTTGGACTTATGACAGGTTGAATTCTCATGTAGGGATTTCTGGTTAACGTCTCCCCCTTCAAAGCGGCAATGTACCTGTCGTTTGTATCTTCCTTCCTCTGCAGTTCCCCAAGGTACTCTCCCAGCCTCTCTTTATTCACTTTTCCCATCATCTGATTCACACACACATGGACAAGTTTTGAGTGAGTAAACAGATAATAATAATAATAATAAATAGAGTCAAGTATGATACAACAGGAGTTCTCTTGATTTGCAAATACATTCTCCATTTAATGGAACAAAAAACTCAGGTGGACTGTTTCAGCTAGGCCTTTATCTTTCTTTGCTGATTTATTCTTCAATTTGAAAATCTGAAAATGATCACGTTGTTAGTGGAAGGGCTTTCTCTTCTTTGTAATGGCCTATATAAGCCAGTCTTTCTCATTCAATGAATTAAATCATTCAACAAATTGCTTGAGCTTTTGTTTAGCTTATGATACACTAACAAGATCGACTTTTGCTTTAGCTTGGTGCAAGGAAAAAGTTGTGTGACAATGCCTTTATGTTGTTCTATACTTCAATTGTTCATCTAAAAAGGAAACAAAGAGGAGGATAATTACACAAAACAAATGCTATCAACCAGTTTCATCTTTCATGTCCCCAAGTCATTACTATGATCAATAAATCAACATCTATCATAAAGTCAACTGTCAAGAAAAAAATGGTTTATCCCATATAAGACAAGACACCAGAGTAGAGTATTTTACCTGGCTTTTTTTTTCCCATGGATTTCCATCTCATTTCTACTTCCATGTGCACCAGTTATCTCTAGCAAGGCCATGAGAAGGGAATAGAGAAGCCTTTGTTTTCTTATATAGTTTAAAGCATATCCAATATTTATTTTCTCTAGTAATATACCTGATCCCTATAAAGTATCAAAGACAACAAAAAAATTGATTACTTGAAACTTGCATTGCCAACATATACAACAAAGATGAAACTCTTGTTTTGTTTCTTCTAAACAAACACATATTGCAGGAGAGCCTGGATAAACTGACCAAACTAAGCTCCAGAAGACTGCTTGTGCAACAAACTTTGGTAGCATACTCTTGAACAACAAAGATAGGTGGTTGATCCATATACATCTCCTAAGAACGTCATTAAGGGTGCGTTTGGTACGCAGAACAGGGTGGGCAGGACAAGACATGACAGGACAGAACACATTTGTCCCATGTTTCCCGTGTCCTTATGTGGAACAAAGTGGAACTAAGTAGAACACATGTGGTACATGCGGGTTCCCCCTTACCCCTCTGGAACTAAATGAAACAAGGTAACATTTGACCAATATACCCCTAAAAGATAAAAGAACTAATACGCTTTCAAACAACTTTTGATTCCTTCATCAGAGCTGCTCATCGATCTCCTGTTCTTGCCTCCTCCTGCGCATCGATCTTCTTCCTCAGGTAATGTCCAAATCAATTTCTAAAACTTCTCCTAATCAATTTCTAACTTCTCCATCGATCTCATGTCCTGTCATGTCTTACCAAACATTGAACATCAGTCCTGTTGTCCAATCTGCGTACCAAACGCACCCTAAATAAGGAATTCTTGATATATGACTCGTGGAGAGACCAATTATAAGTAGCTGCAATGAGACCAATTATAAGTAGCTGCAATGCTATACAAATGAGAATGAGACCATTTCAAGACTCGCAGCTTCAGAGTAACCTTCGGCGACAACCTTTGGCATCAACAAAAATATTCCAGATATCACACAACCCCATAAGTTTGTCTCCAACCCATATGAAAAAGGTTGTGATCAGTTCATAATCTCCTTTAAAAGTAAAAATTTTGTAACTGTTTGGCCTATGATCATATAAAGTACTTGAGAGGGAGCAACAAGATGGGCAAGAGCAGCCATGATTTGACGTGTTCAATTTCATTTTCGCTGGAAATAACATAATTTTCACTGTCCATATTAAGCTCATATTTCTTAAGGACCAGATAATAGGCTAGGACTAAAAGGCCCAAATAATGAATGAAGCAAATATCCCACAAAGTTGATTCCTGCCTCTTGTATGAATGCCTCATTACCTCAAGGCCCCAATTATGCACCTCGTGCCTAGGCATGGCTTCCACAACATGGCCTTCACCTTTCATAACATTGCCTTCACCATCTAGAAAGTAATCCTCAAATGATTTGTACTTGGTTTTTTGATGCACTTCAAGTTTGTTTCTTTGAGTCCCCACTCTATCACCCTTTTTTAAGGCCCTACGTGACTGATGAGTCATCTTTTACTGTTTCAAAGTAATTGTTATGAGTAGTCTTGGAATAAGTAATCTACTCCTAAGAAAAAGGAGGCATAGGAATAGGTGCTTAGTTGAGCTAGCTGGTATGCTGTTTTAATTTTTATTTTTCTCATGTACAGCTCTATCTATAAATAGAGCAGGTTATCTTTTCTTGAATAAAGTATCGAATCAAGTTTGATCAAGTTAAATACCATGTTAAAGTGTGAGTTTGAAGAACCAATTTAAACAATTGGTATCAGAGCCATCATCACAAGAGTCTGTGTTTGTGAGAAAAGTATGCAAGAGAAGGAGATAGAGGCTGATGGGAGACAATGGTAATAGCGCTAAGGGTTTTGTGGTACCGCCTATACCAAAATTCGAAGGGCATTACAATCATTGGGCTAGACTAATGGAGAATTTCATTTGGTCTAAAAGAATATTGGGATCTCATTGAGAAGGAAATCAGTAAACCTGCAGGAGCTACCCCAACGAATGCCAAACAGGATGTGATAGACGATGAAACATTGAAGGACTTGAAGCTCAAGAATTTCTTATATCAATCTATTGATGTGGATATTCTTGATACAATCCTCAACACTGACGCTAGCAAGCAAATTTGGGACAGTATGAGGCAGAAATTCCAAGACTCAACAAAGGTAAAGAGAGCTCAATTGCAAGCATTATGAAAGGAATTTGAGATGTTGCACATGAAGGAAGGGGAGACTGTCAACGGCTATTTCGCTAGAACCCTTGCAATAGCCAAGATCTACGATCGAATGTTACAAATGCCACAACCTGGGTCATTTTGCTTCAGAATGCCCTAGTTGGGAAAGAAGTGCTAACTACGCTGAGTTAGATGAGAAAGAGGAGCTACTTCTCATGGCATTTATTGAAAAGGAAGAGGCACAAAGGGAAGATGTTTGGTTCTTAGACTCAAGGTTGTTCGAACCATATGACAGGAGATAAAAAGTGGTTTGCAACCTTTGATGGTGAATTTTCGCACTCGGGAATGGCAAAAGGATGCAGGTACGTGGAGCTTATTATAGAAGGAAGAACCCATGTGATAAGCGATGTATATATGTACCCAAATTGACTACAAAACCTTCTCAGTTTAGGCCAATTTCAAGAGAAGAGGTTATCAATTCTGATTAAGGATGTGTCATGTAAGATATTTCATGATGACTGGGAATTGATTATGAGTACGTATATGACTTCAAACAGACTGTTTGTTTTATTAGTTGAGGTACCTACTTCATAATGCCTACAAACGACAAGTTTGATGCAAGGAACTTCAAGGCTTTGGCATCTAAGGTACGGTCACTTGAACCAAGAAAGTTTATATTGCTTATCCAAGAAGCAGCTGTGAACGGGCTGCCTCCCATACAGAAAGTGAGAGAAGTATGTGAAGCCTGCGCTAAAGGAAAACAACATCGAGTTTCAATTCCGAAAGTTGCCAGTTGGAGAGCAACTGGACCTCTTCAACTAGTCCACACCGATTTATGTGGTCCGATCACACCTAAATCAGTAGGAGAGAAAAGGTATGTACTAACGCGTATTGATGATTTCAGCAGAAAAACATGGGTCTATTTCTTGTTTGAGAAAAGCGAAACGTTTGCTCACTTTAAAAAATTTAACGCTATGGTTGAGAATGAAGTCAAGTAAAACTAAGTTGCTTAAGGAGTGATCGAGGAGAAGAATTTAACACAAAGGAATTTGCTGAATTTTGCGCCATCAATGGTGTCAAAAGATAGATTACAGCATCGTATACACCGCAACAAAATGGTGTCGCAGAAAGGAAAACCGAACTATTATGGAGATGGTTCGATGTCYGCTAAGTGAGAAAAACATGCCAAAGATTTTTTGGGGTGAAGCAACTAAGTGGGCTGTACACATCCTAAATAGAAGCCCCACTTTGGTGGTAAAAGACCAAACACCACAAGAATGTTGGAGTAACAACAAGCCCAACGTTGACTACTTCAAAAATATTTGGGTGTATTGGCCATGTTCATATTCCCAAACAGGTGAGAATAAAGTTGAATGAAAAGAGCCACAAGTGCATATTTTTGGGCATTAGTGAAGAGTCCAAAGCCTATAAAATGTACGACCCAGTCTCTCGAAAAGTTGTGATTAGCAGAAACGTGATCTTTGACGAGCAACAAGGTTGGAATTGGGGAAGGACTTCAAACGAAGAAAAGGATGATGTCTTGGTAATAGTTGAAGAATAAGAAGAAGCAGCTAGCAAGGTAATTGAAACTAATAGTTCTAGTCCTGTATATCAGCAAGTTCCCTCAAACAATGCAACAAATGAAGATTGAAAGCCCTGGTGAAACTTCTTCCGTAGAAGTTCATGCTGAAACATCTCAAACTCAGGAAGAAAGAAGAAGAGTACCACCAAGATATTTGCAGGATTATGAAAGTGGGGAAAGACTTTCCGAGGAAGATGAAGAAGAGACACAACATTCAGTCATGTATACCTCCGACAGTGATCCAATAAGTTACACCGAAGCAGCAAAGGAAGAAAAATGGAGGGCTGCTATGAATACGGAAATAGAGGCCATTGAGAAAAACAAGACATAGGATTTGGTAACTTTACCAGCAGGTGCGATAGTCATAGGAGTTAAATGTGTCTACAAGACTAAGATTAACGAGAAAGGAGACATATATAAATGCAAAGCGAGGCTCGTTGCAAAAGGATATGCGCAAAGGTATAGCATCGATTATGAAGAGGTGTTTACGCCTGTTGCGAGATGGGATACCATAAGAATGCTCTTGGCATTGGCTGCACGTAAAGGTTGGATTGTCTACCAACTTGATGTAAAAAGTGTCTTTCTTCATGGCATTCTAAAAGAAACCGCGTACGTGGCGCAACCTGAAGGATATGTTCGAGCAGGAGAAGAGCATAAAGTCTATAAACTCAAGAAAGCTTTATATGGGTTGAAGCAGGCGCCAAGAGCATGGTATAGCAAGATTGAAGAGTACTTTGTTCGTGAGGGGTTTGTCAAATGCAGTCACGAACATACGTTGTTTACTAAAGGAAATGCATGTAGTAGCTACCTTATTGTGAGTCTTTATGTGGATGACTTAATTTTCACAGGAAATGATTCAGAATGGTGCGAAAGCTTTAAGAAGTCGATGAAGCAAGAATTCGAGATGACAGATCTTGGAAGGATGCATTACTTTTTGGGTGTTGAAGTTCCACAAACAAAAGATGGGATCTTCTTGTGCCAAAGTAAATATGCAGAGGATGTTCTAGATAGGTTTGGAATGGCAGATTGCAATCCAGTAAACAATCCTATTGTACCAGGATCCAGGCTCTCTAAGGAGGAAGGTGGAGAAGAAGTTGATGCGTCTCTCTATAAGCAATTGATCGGGAGTTTAATGTATCTTACTGCCACCAGACCCGACATTATGTTTTCTGTTTGTTTTTTAAGCAGATTTATGGCATGCCCAAGGGAAGCTCATTTCATGGCAGTCAAAAGGATTATATGTTACATTAAGGGTTCGGTCAACTTGGGATTATTTTACAAAAGAAGTGATCACAATAATACACTAGAGGGCTATACAGATAGCGACTTTGCCGGAGATTCTGATAGCAGTAGAAGTACGTCGGGGTATGTGTTCATGATGAGTGGAGCAGCAGTGGCTTGGAGTTCAAAAAACAACCTATAGTAACCCTATCTACTACAGAAGCAGAGTACGTAGCAGCGTCAACTTGTGCGTGCCAAAGCATCTGGATGAAAGAAATTCTTAAGGGGTTCAACCAGAATCAGTGCAATGGTGTAACAACCAAATGTCACAACAGTTCCTCAATAAAGCTCTCGAAGAATCCTATCTTTCATGGTAGAACGAAGCATATTAAGGTAAGGTTTCACTTCCTATGTGAGTTAGTCAAGAAACGAGAGATCAAGCTAATTCACTGGGGAACACAAGACCAGATAGCAGACATAAATGACAAAGCTGTTAAAACTTAACACGTTCTGGAAGTTATGTAACATGCTTGGAGTTCAACATCATCATGGAGCAAACTGAGTTGCCTATGCATTCTCAGTTTGGGGAAGGATATGATGAGTCATCTTTGACTGTTCCAAAGTAATCGTTATGAGTAGTCTTGGAATAAGTAATCTGCTCCTAAGAAAAAGGAGGCGTAGGAATAGGTGCTTAGTTGAGCTAGCTGGTATGCTGTTTTAATTTTTATTTTCTCTTGTACGGCTATATCTATAAATAAAGTAGGTTATCTTCTTGAATAAAGTATCGAATCAAGTTTGATCAAGTTAAATATTGTGTTAAAGTGTGAATTTGAATACATCCACAGCTTTTAAGTTTAACAAGGGATCACTCTCTTATTGCAGGTTGACCGTTTTATTGGATCCATGATGCATATAATAACCTTCCTTCAGTCCGTACTTGTTGGCTGTTGCCTTTCCTTTCATCTCCAATAACTGCTTCTCAAAGTCAATAAGGAGTCTAAGCAATTAATTCTTTTTAAATACCAAAGAATAATACAATATATAATAACTGACCGCAGCAGTTGATCTGGCCTGCTTAAATCCTCGAAAACTATGATTTTACATGTTTTTATGTTGTTTGCTCCAACAATACTCGGATAATCCAAGGTAATATAAGAATCTTGAACTGAAACAACCCACAGACAAGAATGATAATCACTATGTCCATTCCAATGAAGAATTATAGATTACTTAATAAACCACTTAGGACTTGGCCTAGTGGCCACCTCCTTCCGTAAATGCCTTGCCTTAGGCGTGCCCACCGGGTTCGATTCTAGGGAAGGACAGATTGTCTTTTCCGGTGCTTGCTTATGAGGTATGGCAAGTAGGGTTCACAAAATATGGACCACGGGGCCATGAGGTCCCGCCAATAAACCTTTTTATAGATTACTTGATATAGGGAGCATCTATCTATAAGGAAATAGCAAATCAAGTCAAAAGGGGAATGCTTGAGACAAAGAGAGTTGGTGTATGTACTAACAAGGGTATCGGGGCGAGCGTTGCGACGGAGTTGGGACTCCAGCTGCTCATTGCTTGAATTGGTGAACTGCATCACACAATAACCGATGGCACCGGGGACAACCGCGCATACAGTCGCAAAAGCAAAGAAAAATGGCTTCGAATCTCTCGTCTGCGTCACTAACCATCGCCATAGTGTAGACATATCCCCCTTTCGCCTTTTGGTGTTTCTTCGTCGGTGGCTCCTCTGATAATTTTACTGGTTTATGGGCCGGAATGTGAGGTTGTCGGACTTGGTTTATATCAGTTTTGCTTTTTTTTCATTTTACTATTCTTTTGCACCAAAGAAATTCAACCGTCCATTAAGGAAACCTAAACCCTAACGCTGTGAGTGGTTCATAAAATGTTTTTTTTTGTAATGAAATGAAATTTGTCAAAAAAATTGGGAAAATTACAATAAAAACCAATGGACTTTTTTGTTTGGAATGATTAAGTTCTTAGATTTTTTTTGGAACAAATAAGTCCTTGAACATTCCAAAACATGTTAAATAAGTCATTGGACAATTTTTTGGAACAAATAAGTCTTTGGAAATTCCAAAATATGTTAAATAAGTCATTGGACAATTTTTGAAACAAATAAGTCCTTGAACATTCCAAAATATGTTAAATAACTCATTGGACAATTTTTGAAACAAATAAGTCCTTGAACAATCCAAAACATGTTAAATAACTTCTTGAACTTTTATAAAACATGTTGGATACATTTTTATGACTTGTACAACTAGTTAAAGTGGTAAAATGGTGAAAAAAATCCGGAAAAAAACCCAATGAACATTTATATTTTGAACGATTAAGCCCCTAAATATTTTTTGAACCAAAAAGTATTTAGATCTATAAAATTA